AGTTCTTTTCCATAGGAAGAAAAGCCCCGAACCCCAGTGCTTCAATAGCAGATGAGAAGAGACCCTGCAGGTGCCAAGCTGTCAGGCAGCCCCTGGAGGCCAAACCAGCCAGACCTGTTCCGTGTTCCCTTGGTTCCTTGGGGCCCCACAGTGTCCCAGGGGTCTCCGTGGTTCCCCAGGCCCCACAATGACACGGAACTCCTCTGTTCCATGAGGCCACAATGTCACAATGGACCTTTGGACCCTGGGGTTTGCGATGTCACAATGGTCTCCTTTGGCTCCACAGTATCACAATGGAACACTGATGACACGAGGCCCTGCAGTGTCACAATGGACCTTTGGTTCCCTGCAGCCCTGCAGTGCCACAAAGGCCTCTTGGTTTCACGAGGCCCCACAGTGTCACAATGGTCCCCTTGGTTCTGTGGGGACCTCCAGGTTCACAATGGTCTCACTGGTGCCATGAGACCTCACAGAATTGTAGCATAATATCCCCATCATGGTGATAATTAGCATTGACTCCGTGATTCCAGAAGGCTGATCAATTGCTTTATTATACTATACTATACTATACTATACTATACTATACTATACTATACTATACTATACTTATTCAGAAAAACTCATCGTGCTTACAGACAGTCCGATGCACTCAGACCAGTTTGGTCATTGAATGCAAACAACAGCACCACTGGCCATTTAAGAAATCACCTTTTGGCAAACAAATCTCCATAACACATTCCACATGTTCGCAACAGCAGGTGCAGCAAGTAAAGATAAGAATTGTTTCTCATTCTTTTCTCTGATCTTCTCACAGCCTTCCCCAAGATGATGCCTGGGAAAGTTGTGCCTGCAGCTCTGTGGCCAGAGAGTTGCAGCCACATCGCAGTTTCACAATGATTTGCTTATTCCAGGGGGCCTCATAGTGTCCCAATGGTTTCAATGATCCCATGAGTCTCCTCAGTGTCACCATGGTCTCCTTGGTTCCATGGTGCCCCACAGTGTCACAATGGCCCCTTGGTTCCATGAGGCTGTGAAGTCTCTTAATGGTGTCTCCATGATTCCATGAGGCCTTCCAATGTCACAATGGACCTTTGGCTCCCTTGGGTCTCACCATGTCACAATGGTCCCTTGGTCCCATGACACCCCAAAGAGTCATAATGGTCTCCACGGTTCCCTGAGGCCCTGTGGTGTCACAATGGACCCTTGGTTTGATGGAGCCTCTCAGTGTCACAATGATCCTGACATTCCCTGGAGTCACACAGTGTCACTACAGTCCTCTTGGTTCCATGAGGCCCAGAAATGTCACAGTGCTCTCCAGGATTCCATGAAACCCCACAGTGTCACAATGGTCCCTTGGTCTCAGGGCCCTGCAGTGTGGAGAGTGTGGGAAGGGCTTCAGTTGCAGCTCTGCCTTTGTCACCCACTGGCCCATCCACACCGGGGAGAGGCCCTACGAGTGTCCCCGGTGTGGGAAGAGCTTCTCAGACCGCTCATTCTTTGCCTGGCACCAACGGAGGCACCAGTAAGGGAAGCCCTACGAGAACCCCACCTGCAGGAAGAGCTTCGTGTGCTGCTCCAGCTCCATCCCCATCAGAGGACCCGCCCTGGTCAGAGCCCTGGTGACCACATTCTCTGTGATACACAGATGGAAGTGGCTGGTGTTCCTTTTATTTTTGCTCCAGTTATCTTTTATCTTCCTCCATTCAAAACACAGAAAATTGTGGTAAAAATCAGCAAATTCATCAAAGTCATCTAAAGCCTCACATTTTACTTGTGTTTTGGGGAGTCTTGGATTACAGGAGATATCTGTGAGGAAATGGGTGTGTTGAGCGTATTTGGTTTAGTTGTCTTTATTTCTTGGCACTCCAAAGGTGAGAGGGACAGATCTGTCAGCTCAAAACAACTCAGTGCCACTAAAAACTACTGAATCCCACCCCAAAACTACTTGCTTCCACTGCATCTCAGGGTGAAATTAGGTTGCAAGGAGATTGGGCAAAGTGGGATGCAAATCAGAATGGGCATTGGGTGGG